TTTCACTTTAACCTAACAAAACGTTGCGCGCCTTATGGCCCTTGAAACGATAAGTCTACTGTATGGTTTATCGGCTCAGCTGGTACGAATTTCATCTGTGGTGAGAGCCGCCATGGCTTTTTATTTCGAGGAAAGTGAGGGTTGTAGTGCTGGTACAAGTATAGCTGTATACTGGAAGCACACATCGGTATGGGGAGGTAATCATCCCTGCTACATTAACGGATCCAGCTACCAGGTTTGGGGTCCAGCACTATCCGGCCACATTGCAAAACCTACTCCAATTGTCTTTTGGTCCTTGGATTTGGTTATAGCACTCCATCCCTCCGCAAAAGGTGCTGCTTTATTACAGTTAAGATTTTCTGTGTTATGCGAGCGGTGCGCACAAATTTCGGCCTCAATTTGGCGCCGTAACACATTTCTCAACCCAACTTTTCTGCTATGGCATTAATGAGTTACATAGGCCAATACTTGTATGGGATTTAGACTAAAAGCAAACTTTTCCCATAAGATACCTAAAAATGTGCAGTAAAAACAACGATGAAAATGAGTTTACTGTAATTGCGGAGCAAACAATGCGTGTGCTACTAATGGGACCTCCACATGACTATTTGTAATTAACACGCACTCTGGTCAGGGATCAATTTGACCCTTCCTCTTCCGAAGGTTCCCACAATGATTTCCGATCGGTGCGGCGTAGCCCTTCTAGCGTTGGTAGGTGCACAGCTACATACGACGAGCACACGTTTCTATGGGGAGTTAAGCATCCGGCTCTGCACCAAACTTTGCATAGCTGTAGACAATTGAATAACGGATTTCGAGGTATTGGAAGTTACACGTACATGTCAGGTCGCTGACCTATGGCAGGTCGAAGTCAGGCCATGACCGTCAGTAAAGACCATGTCTGTGGAATCGCTCAACCTGATGCGACAACGGCGTGTCAAACGAAGCTATACATCTCGGAGAAAGTTTACTAAACAATTAGCCAGCCGAGGTTAGAATTGCGAGTAATTTCATTGAACTTGTATCAGTATGAAGGTCAGACCGATGTCAAAACCTTCACTGCTGCTTCTTCACTGAAAACGTGCTTGAAGGGGTAGTTTTGGATGGTACTCTTAAATTTATTGCTCACAGGGGCGTCCACGGACATCTCATCTCAACTTCTCCCGGGTTAGAGGTCACTGACCGAAAACGACCCCCATCAATCATTTTCCCGACCAATGCGGCGCAGTCGTTCCGACCGATACGACCTGAAATGAACACCAGTAAAATTTTGCCTAGAACAAGTATCTAGGGTTCCTAGAACAAGTATCTAGGGTTAAGGCGGTTGCATAAGGAGGTCTGGAGGCACTACGGATACCGATCTGGAGTTTGACCCTATTTGACCTAAAAGTTTATTGGTAACTTGACCTAGTCTATCTTAAAACTTGACAGAAGCGAGTTCATACGTATGTCTATCTCAGAGGGTCGAATGAACCCCCTCCCCCACTGAGCGCGTCGTATTCAACCCGCCACCTATGCCCAAGTTAACTTGCTGGTGCGCGCCTGGGGCGCTCGTAAATGTTCATGAAGTGAATGTCTGTCGTATTTTGTAAGACATTTTAGTTCCACGTGGACTAGCTCTTCTTCGAGAAGTAATAAACGGGCAAGTATTAACAGACCAGCCCACAATAAGTTTCACTTTAATGCGCACGATTGCGCATTATCAAATTGTACCATTCTCTGCTGCGCCTTTCATGTACCTTGCAGTCTTTCATGCGCCTTGCAGTCTGAAGCTTGATTTAAACCCGAATATGTGAAGTTCCTGGACATTGCAAAAGAACGCAGCTAAACATTTTAAAACACAGTGACGATAAGCCTCCAGATAAAAGTCCAACTTGCCAGTGTTTTTGCCCCAAAAGTGTAGGGCAAGCATAGTAGCATAAGCAGTAGTACCATGCGCAGTAGCAGGATAAGCAGTAGTAGTATAAGCAGTAGTAGTAAATTTTGGGGTTTAAGTGGCGCATCGACGTGTCCTCCTTCTAGAAGGCATGCCGGCGACAGTTTGCTTAAAAGCGACATGCAGTGCTTCTTTATCGAAGGAAATGCAGTCCAAAGAGGTCTTACAGACTCCTCACCGTCTATCACTGTGAAGTACATTACCATCGTTCTGGTTACTTCTTTTGATCGCCAGTTATCCGAGGTCAAATTGTGTCAAACCCTTGTAAACGCAGTTGACCTTTTGCGGGTCATACGAGTTTGACCTTAATGGCACCTGAGATAAAAGGAGGGTTCTATAATTTGTTAATTTTGCCTATTCGGTCCGGTTTCAAGTGTTCAGGGTCACGTTCACCACACGCAGGTACACATACCTGATGCAGTTTGACGAGAACTTTCCAAGCCCGTTTTCTGCGTGGCTCTAGCTTGCTTAGTTTTCGATATCTTAGGGTGCTTCTGAGGCCCTTTTCTCGTAGGGTAGGGCGAAGGTGAAAAAGCATCGCAGCGCGAGGATTAATAAGACCTCCACCAGGCCCTCCGGGCCTAACAATCGGGACCTGATGGAGACACAACCCTTGTGGCCCTTCCCCCTCGTCGCATACGCCCCCTGCTCAGAACAATGTTAATTGGGTTGCTGTTGTGAGCAATTCGTATCCAATGCCTACCACGGCGCATCCGCCTATTAGCAACCATTCTGCAACATCAAGACTGTAGTGTGTTTCTGACCTTGCTGCTTCATGGAGCCGCGCACCAGTGTTGTTATCCGACGCGAAATCCATAGAACGGCGCCTCGTGCCATGGGCGACACATGCAGCGGGACGTGACGCTTGTCCGCAGCCTATGCGACGCAACAAACATTCGATAGATTTTGGCCGATAAACCTGAACTAATTCACACGTGTGGGCTAACGTGAGCCGAAAAAACATCCAATCAGGCGTTAAAAGAGACGCGAATGGTACATATGCATGCTCTTCATGACACCATTCATGCTTTCGACAATACGATGCACACACTTAGCAATGCTATGCATGCATTCAACAATGTTATGCATGCATGCAACCGTGTCATCCATGCATTCAATCGTGCGATTTACCACAACCCCTGCAAAACAAACATATTGAAAATCGTTCACTCGCATATCCCTTCTCAACAATGACATGAAATTGTGCAAAGGAAAGTGACACAATAAACATCCTGCATTGATGTGCAGCGACTTCTTCCACGATGTGGCTTCAACGATGGCACTGCATCTCGTCTTAACCACCAAGTTACGGAAAAAAACAAAGATAATTCTGTATCTAGCACCGGAGTCCTAACAGCCGTACTTGCCAGAGGTACAAAGGAAAAGGCGACAAAGACAAAGGAGTATTGGGGTCATGGCTACGGACACTGGTGGTTGTGGAGGGGGGCGGGGGCAGGATCCCACAAGATTTGTCAAATTCAATATTGCGCGTACTCTTCATATTTTGGGCCCAGGAAAGCTATGGACACACCTGCTCTGAGAAGATGCCTTCGGTGCTCAAGACCTTGTCGAGTCAACTTCGCCAGAGAACTCTGCGCCCAAGCCGAGCAGCTCATACATTTAACACCTGATCGCATTTCAGAACTGCATCTGCCCTCCTCCACCGGCCTCCGGTTCATACTGCACGCACGCTGTAGCTCGGCTCACCGGCAGTGTGATGTAGCCACCAGCCCCCACTCGTTCTGGTTCGGAGCCCGCCCTGTTACCCACACCACCTGGCTACGGTCTCTTGCGTGTGTGCGCGGGGGGGGGGGTCTTCGTGCGAGAGTGACCCAAGATCGCTGCAGTACTGATTCACTTCGATCTCCTCCCCTTAATCCCAGACTTTGAAATGGTTATTGCGCACTTAAGCACCTCTTACCAAAAATAAACTATAATTAGGCCTTTCACCAACGAGGGAAGGATGCACTACGCAACAAAAACGGAACGAGTCGATAACTCCTTTAATTCCTTTTGTATACATCACAAACCCTATTTTGCTCGGTTGGATTGAGTGCAACGATGAGAGCTGAGTACAAGATTATGAAAAGGGCAAAAAGGAAGTCTCATTACGCATTAAAATATGTCCCTAAACAGAAAAGCACTTAATCTTTCAGGTATCCTTCGTGTCCGCCTTCACAATAAAAACGGTTCATACCATCTGATTTTCTAAAAGCTCGTAACCAACGCCTGAGGAGAAAAACCTCAAGAGGAGGGGTGCCATCGAAGCATGCATATAACTTCGCCAGAAGCATACCAGGGGCGTGGCACAACGCGCACTACTTTTGGAAGTTCTCTTGGGAGATCACACTCTACGAAAACATGAGAGGGATTCCATCAAACCGGAAGAAGACACTCAAAATTTTGCGTAGCTGCAATAAAACAGGTCTCCCAAACATGGCCAAATTAACAAACATTCGTCACCATGAAGGCATACCTAAACGGGCGAGATTCATCGTCCGAGATTGCACGAAGCACATCGCACGAGTGTCCACCCTTGGTGGCTATCTTCGGCCTGTACGTTGTTCGCCCAGTGTCTGCCACCTCATGCGATCTTTCACCATGCATACGTCGCAGAGTGAGCGTTGTTTGTGGCGCAGGTGAACATTGTTTTGAGTCGAAGCTCCGTCTCGACATCGTCAAGGATGTAAACAACGCTAGTTGGCGTTTTTGTTGCAGTGTAAATCTTTGTAACATTTTCCACCTTTTTACTGCAATTTCCGTTATTACTCAGCCCAAATATTTAGAAAAAGGCGACACTACGGAAGTCTTAAAGTGGAACGTTTCCCTTGTTTTGGGCTGCATTTAGATTAAGCGTGGGACTTTCGGTTATTGATCTTTTCACATCAATATTTTGTTCATATTCAAGATAATCCACTTACATGAGTCAATTTAATGGCACGCCATCACCACTTTCCAATAACTCGCATGTTCTAGGTGGGTGGAATATAACTGTTATCATGCTTTAACACGGCTAATACGCATCAGCCGAAGCGGCGCTGGTGAGTGCGTTCCGGAAAATTACCATTCGTCGTCTGGCGTGACGGACTCGGGATCTGTGGTCTCCTTCTCCTCTGCTGCGCGGTGCTGACGTCGCTCTGTGACGTCATCGATCACCTTCCGCTGGAAATTGACGAGGAATCGTTCGTTTGTGGCGTCATCCTCCAGGGCCGCGGTTCCCGTGCGCAGTTTTTCATAAAGACTTGCTTTCGCCTCCAACGCCATCCTGCGGTGGAGAACGAAACGGAGTTTTACACCTCTGCCGTAAACACGAGTGAGTAGATAACGTGCGCCCCAGGACTGTGGGGTCGAGATAAAGGGAAATCAACGAACTAAGGCTGGAGCTGATCACAAACACACCTTTAGACACAGTTCGTTAGAAGCTTGTTTTTCGGCTCTATACCGACTTGCACCAATTAGGCAATGCTTTTTAGCCATGCAAGGGCGAAACACTTTCAAAATCATTACAGAAATTGACACAAAAAGCCCTTAAGCCTAAAGCTAGAAATCAGAAGCAACGGAATCGAATCGCTGTGCACTGATGGAAGGTCGGGCCAAAATGACCCCGCATACTCATCACAGGTCCTGCGTGGCCAGGTATCACATTACGACGCATCTTCGTTGCCCTGGCCCGCACCAGCTCAGAGACGTATCCGGGCGGGGGGGGGGGGGACACAGAAACCACGACCCCCCCCCCCCCCCGATTCCTGAGCTAGAGGCCTTCAAAAGATACTGAAAGATTTCGAAGAAACTTGGTCCAAATTCGCAGGAGTACGGAGAAAACTAGGTATTTGCCTCCCCACATAGGCGGATCCTGGGGGGGGGGGGGGCCCGGGGCCAGGCCCCCCCCCCAAACCTCTGAGAGCATGATTTGGTCCCTCAAAACATTCCCATAACTTCATAAAAAAATTCGGCTACTTACCGTCTGTTTTAACTTGAACTGTTTTAACTGTTTTGTTTTAGCTTCTGTTTAAGATTCCAAAGCATTTCGGTGTTTTTTTCGGTTTTGAATTGTGTCCCTTCTAGGTACTCGCGAGAGGCACCATGCACTGGACCTCGGATCCCACACCAGCCAGCTGGCGACGAACGGTTGCCCCCCCCCCCCCAAAAAAAAACCTCCAGACTAGATCCGTCCCTGGGCCTCCCCCAAGTAAAATTTCGACCGAGGGCCTGCACCAACTGTGTCATTCGGATCGTGTCAGGGCCTCTTCTAAGGAAAAGACGGAGAACCTAGCTCGTGGCGTGGGACTCGAAGCACTTCAATTCAATTGTCACTTTTGGCCCCGAAATATCATTTGTTGTTATCATTTCAAACGTTTACCGACGAAAGACTAAAACATATACGTCAACACAAGCACAAAAGTTTAAGCGTGACACTACTTGCTAACCTCCACCCAAGGCCAGTTCAATACGCGACCACAGGCGACAAATACTGCTTATTAATCAGGGATCGGCTAAGCTAAAAAACTGCCGTTATGATGTTACCGAGTTCTGTGAGGTCCCAACATGACTGCGTCTTCAGCCACACGAAGAACCAACGCCATCTAGGTGGCTAAAACATAAAGTGCCAGTCAAGGAGGGCAGACACCTAATCAATCCCGCATACATTTCTCGAAATGATTTAACACGATACACGAACGTCTTGTACTTTAATAGTAGGTGAACAAATGTCTGGAATTTCCACCGTGAAGCACATGGTCCTCCTACGCACAAGGTGAGCAGGGAACTTGGTCGATACAGCTCCCTAAAAACGCAGTCACGCTGGGGTCTCACAGGACTCGGCTGCAACATTAGTGCTTACGGAGAAAGCACACCACTTCGCGGAACACAGCTTATGAGCTCGACCACCACATCTATAACCGCCATGGAAGAGTATCTTCAGCGCCCTAAGACGGCCTCTAGATGGGTGCCTTTATTACTGATCAATTCCCCCCCCCCCCCCTCTGGATCCGCCCCACGCACGAATACTATGTGGGGGAGGGTAGATCGTCGGACCCCGTACTGACTACGTAGACTGGCTAAGCCAACAAGTTGAAGCCAGGTATGCTATATCCATCGCTTTATCGTCACGTAGACCCACAAAGACCCCGCCGAAAACGTGCCAAAACAGTGCTGGTCAAGGACGTAACCAAGGTGGGGACAACCAACCCCCTCGGGCCAGGAAGTTGAACAAAATGCTGGCGATTTCACAAAAACGCGGTCTAAACAAGGACGATTTTAAATAAAAGTTGACATTTGCTCCAACACCTGAGGATACGTTTGTCAACGCGTCTGATGGCTGATAACAGTTGAGTATCACATCCCCATCCATAAAGCAAATGGGACACCTGACGCAAAATGGGAACGAGTTAGTCGTCGATATTAACAGCATGCTGGTGTAATCATTATACAGTAAACTTATGCCTGTCCAAAACACTTCCTCTTTCTCCACCTGCTTAAAAAGCTTTAGGTAGACTTGTGTATTTGCCAAACAGAAAGCTTAGAGCGCATTTGAACGCCCTTTCAGACGACTTTTTCTTCTGCTTCGTGCACTCCCAGTGTCACCATTTTTCTCTGAGACGGGGAGACAGGGAGGAGAGTCGCTGAGACCTCACTGGGTCGCCCCCAATGTCACCATTTTTCTCTGAGACGGGGAGACAGGGAGGAGAGTCGCTGAGGCCTCACTGGGTCGCCCCCCCCCCCCCCCAGTCCGAGGAAGTCGCGGTCATGGGTTGCGTCCTATCAAATCAGACTGAAACAAGATCAACTCGAGCATCGCCAACTTGGGTCCAGTTTTTGGACTTGGATGAGCCATAACGTAGTGTCAGCCTATAGTGTTTTCCCACATAACCAAATAATGTATACCAAATTGATGTAACACGGTCTCAAAGCAACACGACGGGCTAGCTTGAACGGATACATTATACACCGGCGACATCCCGCCGACTCCGTGGCGCAACGGTAGCGCGTCTGACTCCAGATCAGAAGGTTGCGTGTTCAAATCACGTCGGGGTCAGGAACCTTTTGCGTCGATACCCTTGAATTTAACATTAGACGAACGTTTCAGTGCAACCAGAACCTCCCATTGCCGTAAAAATTGTCATTGGGGCTTTACTGCGCACTCTGCTGCTGACGCTATATGGCGTCGCCTGCCTCTCACCCTGGCAAGAAGGGCGTGCACCGCGAGGAATCGAACCCCGTACCTCTGGTTTCCCAGACACGTAGCTTCGTCGCGTACCTTGGACACACAAGCTGTTGCTCCTCTTCTCCCATCAACATCAAGTTATGTGGCGGCCAGTCACCCATATATGCACCTCAAGCAAGCGGACAGGCCAGGACGGCAACCCTCCAACGGCATATGAATCCTGACGGATGCGGACACGGCGGTGGAGACATAAGTCTGATAGTGTGGATGGATATTGGACTCGACTCCTTCGCGCCCGTTTGTACGTTTTAATCCCTTTACGTTGGTAATGGGATGGTGCGACCCCACAGGCCCACTCCATGCTCAGCCACCATCCCACTCCCATCTTAGAATACAAGGGTGCAATCAAAGTGCACTTAAGTTTAAGCTCCGTGGAATAATTCCATATCGGGAGTTAGCGCTGATTGCCTGCGGACACTGTCGACTAGCTTGCTTGATTGCTCGATGCACTGGAAGCCGATACCAGCGTCGGAACTGGCCGGTATCTCTGCATCTACGCTGGTGACGGTGCGTTGTTAAAGAAAATATTGCATCTTTCCTACGTAGACGCACCTCTCACATAACGACACTGTCTGCCAGCCTGTCAGACGGGGCCAGGTTCTCAAAGCTGTGTGTTCGGGTGCAAACGCTCTAAGCCGTGTCATATACCCAGATATGGTGGAAATAATAATGCGTCTACTATTTGTAAGTCACTTATATATAGGACAAGCCAGCAAAACTCGTCATATATGGAATGTGCGAACATTCCTCCTAAAGCGCCAGACAAAATGACGTGGCTTCCATGTTTCGCCATGACGCTAGGTACCGGAACCCTTCCGCAATGTCCAGGATGAATGCACGGCACTCGAGACTTCTGAGGATATGTCGCATGACCATGTCTCTAGTTTCTGGCGAAATACGTATGGCGCTCCATCATCGCAGACAACATACTCGCAAAGAATCTAGTTGAAAGGCCAACTGCAAGCTTCTCGTATTCAGGAAAGAGGACTTGATGTTTGACCTACCGCAATAGGTTGTGAGTGCACCTACGCTGGGCTAGAAAAAAAAAAACAGTAGTTGACATCGATACGGATTCCATCTTTTGTTAATGGACATTAAAGACCTCAGCTGGAAAAAAAACGCTTTAGTACCTTACTTATTTTGGATGATTCAGTTATGGCTACATCACGGTACCTCCCACTTGCGTCCTCGCATGTTTACATCATACCAAACTACGACGGAAAGCAATGCACATGCTTCAAAATACTTCGGCTGATGGGAAACCCACATCTAACCAACTGGGCCCGGATCACACCAGTCTCACATCACGCGCAACGTGTTGGACCCTGAAACAAGTACGATGTATTGAGGACGCGCAAGATGACACGTGATCCACCTCACGTACCAATACCTACGCACAGCACCCTCGCAAACAAGAGTGAGTCGATGAGAAAGCTCGGACTGGCGGTGGATCGATACGTGTGTCATGCATCTGGCCTGACTGGCTGACTGGCAGTGCATTACCCCGCTATAACCGAGGCCGTACCGCCGTCGGCCGTCGGCGGCGGCGCGGGCAGCGCGCAGATGCCTCTGGCTGGCTCACCTGGACCGGTCCAACTCGCGGGCTTCCTCCGCCGTCTGCTCCTTGTCGCGCAGGTCGCGCTGCTCCACGCCCGCGTTGACCTTGGCCCAGACCTTGGACTTGCCCTCGGGCCGCTGGCGCCGTTCCGGCCTGCTGCGTAGCGTCTTTGATTCCTGTTGCTTGCGGTGCAGCTCCGCCTTCAGGTCCACCAGCTGCGGTCACAGAGACAAGTGCCCATGGTGAGGGACTGCCAGCAATGTTAGGAAATAGCACAAGGAGTAGTGTCCCCTCCCACACATGCCCAATGTTTCATGATCATGATCATGTACCAATGGATATAGCTCTCTGTTGATCCTGACAGCACTATATCCCCTCCTCAATCTCCTCTCCATCCCTTTACATCATTTGTATGCAGAGCCAAAGCAAAGATTGTTCACAGCTGCAACAGCAGAATAGAAGTTAGCCACCTGAACTCAGAAAGATAATGCCAGACATGCATACAGCCAGCCAGCCAAACAGAACTCAGCATTAAGGCAGTCCTGATCAGACCTGCTTCTCACTAAACCATTCCAACCTTGAGGATCAGAATAGTACCAAAATGTTGAAGAGTTGACAAATACTTACAGAAGATGAACCAACATCAATTTTCTTATCCCTGTCCATGTCAATTCTTTTGACAGATCTCTTGTAAAATTGAGCAGGTTCACAATATTCACAGTGTTTAAGTAAATGTAATCAACTAAAATCCAGCCTTTTTCATGCTGTAACCTTGCTATTCTTCTCAACAACTTATTGCACTGAAAAGAGGAGCTTGTCAGTCCCTTAACACCATGGCTCATCCAGACTGATGTCTCACCACAGGGTGCACCTTTAAAACTCAGTAGCTAACTGTCTTACTTGAGGATGCTGATGTACAGGGGTGTACAGATTTTTGGGAAAGAGAAGTTCATTTAACCTGCAAAAGTAAATTGTTATCACATATCATTATGGGTTCCTCTTAAAATGATGGAAAACTGAAAACTATGGTCATCTTAACCTCTACATCCCATGCAAATACTGATGCAGTATGATGCAGAAGTTTGACAGCTTTTTTGCACACCCTTAAGTATTGATACCAACCATGTCACTTTAATGCAATCATATTATAGCCTACAGGTGGCTGAGTTAATGTCAATGTTGAACCTATTAATGCAATAAGGAATGTTAGCCAGGCCAGGCCAGGGTTAAGACAAATACCCCCATAGGCCATGGTTGAGATAAATACCCACAATGCTCAGTGCGAATGGAATCAACCAGTCGTGTTTATAAAGTGAGGAAAGATCCCTTTGAGAGCTGTAACCCTCAAAGTATGTTAGGTACTGTGTTGTGTTAAAAGTAAGATGCTACAATGTCTATTTTCCATTTATGGACCATTTTTTGCCTTAAAGAACACAACATTTACAGAATGACCTCTTTAAAGAGCATTATATTACTATGTACTGGACTGTAACCTCACTGGCAACTCTCGTCACATTTAAGTTTGCGTCACCCAAATACACAATTGCATACACAAAATTAATGGCTACTGGGTTTGTAAACTGAGCTGGTGACACCTGGGAAATGTCAGTATTTCAAATCTGCCCAAATACAACAGCATCACAATGTGTATGGTTTCACAGTTGATTTGCTAGTAACTACCTGTTTGTATATGACAGTTGCCGAATTATAACAAGGTCACAATGAGCGCATAAAGGAGCATTTATGCCAGCAATATTTAGGAAAAAGTTTAGCTAGTAGTTAGTAAAAAGATCACTAAAACTGAGGATTATACACAAACGGCTTGGTATGGAATGCTTTGGAGCGCAATAAGATGGATTCTCCTACACTTATCAACTTCACCTTCTCTGGCACCCGTCCGTCTACGCGTCTAGTGTTGTTTAGAAGCTCATGCGCTCCCAACCTGGTGTACGATAGCTTGCGGCGCCAACGTCTTAGCGCATGCGGCTTGATCCAGGGGCTGCGCTCGTAACACACTAACCGCAATTGCACTGAGTGTTTCATGTTTGGCGCCGCTTAGACAAAATAGTGCGGGAGAATTTTCCCTTAACATACAGCATTAACACTTGATGTAGTCAAAACTTTGGAAAGAAACGCTGTAAAACATGTATCTTCTTCTTCGTGAACACATTGACACAGACTTGTTAACTTCAAACAGGAACAAAATAGAGCAACCATGGTCTTATGCATGGACAAACATCTTTAAATGTTTTCGGCTACCACAAAGCTGACTAAAAACACAACAGAGCATTAATCGATTTTTCGCCACTGGCCTACCGTTGTTAGATCGGCAGACGCAGCTAGGAGATTCAGCATTGAAAACTGCGCACAACGTCGGGTCTGGGAGAGATCTGCAGCGACAGGTATGATGGCACTGAGATGCACCCGAGATGTTGTGACGCCGTTAAAACCCTAGTGGCCCGCCGGCACCGCCGCGCGTCCGGCTCTGGGCCGTACTAGGGCGTTTAGCACTCCGTGAAAGCTCCCATAGTTTTTGGGCCTATAATTTCTGAACCATTTTAGATTGGGGTCTGAAACTAGGCGGCTGTCGTCAGTGAGTTTTACTACAAATGCTGTCAAAATACAAGATCTTATATAAGCAGATCATGAAAAGCAGCTGAGGCAAACAGCAACTGCAAGGACTCAAGCAGGGGCACAGCGGACGCGTGCCAACAACCGAGATCTCGAGAGTCCTGAAGGGCTTTCGGGACCAGTGATCAAGGACCCAATCGGACGGCCCGACGGGCGCAAAAGGTTGTCTGAAAGTCATTTCGAAATCTCGGCTCGCAAGGCGGAGCCCTCGCTTGTCAATCAGAGGGTCTCGTGCGCTGCTCGGGGGCCTGTGGGACATGCGGACCTTTCTGTCGGTCAGATGCCACCAACAATGGATAATCGGCTCGGCGTCGGTCTAGGCCTTGGGCGTCTGCCTTCGCCTGGCCTTGACGAACGGCTCTATTTCGTTCCTGGCCGACAGCTACGTACTTTTGAGTATCACGATGAAGTGCAAAACTTGTTCGTCGCTGTTATATGCTTTGACTCCCAAAAAATGCAAAAATAGGCAACACTCAAACTCAGGAATGTGACTCCAGAGACGCATAAGTAACATGGGTTCCACGCAGGGGTGCCGATTTTTGTAAATAATTGGCGAGGCCGAACCGAAGGCCCGACAACCTTCCTCCCATTGTTTTGCACAGGTTTTAGCCCAATTTATTTTGGTGAAAGGCAAGATATATTTTGAATTTCAGGATATTTTGTATTAAGTCCTAAAATTTAAGCATTACAACAGTTATGCAGGGGTAGATCTAGGGAGCATGTACTGGACGCAAGCGCCTCTTCTGATCGGCAAATGAAGGGGCCCATTTAGAGACCATCTTTGGGCATCGAAGACGCTTTTCTATGGTGGTCATAGAAGTCGGCACGCATTTTAGTTGTGGGGGATTTACTGCAGTTTGGTTGAGGGTTTAAGATGAGGGACTTAGATCATGCTCGTGCTCCAAAACTTCTCACTATAATCTCACAAATCATCGCCCGTCTAGTGGCCTAGGTGTGTGAAGACTATTGCGTGGTTTCTCCGCTCTGCTGTTACATTTTGTATTTGGTGTTAAGAACATCCGCGACTTTTTGTTACGTGAGGAGAGAGGGTTCTAGTGTTGGTAGGGGCACAGCTAGACGCGAGAAACGCACGTCTCTGTGGGGAGGGGTAAACATCCGCCTACATTAATGGATCTACCTACCGCTTTTGGGGCCAAGCCATCGGACCAGACTGCGCGTCCTTCTCCAATTTTCATTTTGTCCTTGGAATTTGATCACAGTGCCCACCCGTCCCCCTGCAAAATGTGCTGCTTTAGTAAAATCAAGACTTTCTGTGACATGCGAATGGAACGCGAAAAAAATGGACTCAATTTGGCGCTGTGCCACGTTTTTCTACTCAACTTTTTCTAATAGCATCAAGGGCGACATCGACCAATACTTGTATGGGATTTAGACTGGCAGCAAACTGCTTCCATCAGACACCTAAAAATGCGCGGTAAAAGCAACGATGGAAATAAGTTTACTGCAATTGCGTTACAGAAGATGCGTATGCTATTAATAGGGCTTCCGCATGTCTTGTTATTATTGACATGCGACTGGGTAGGGGATTAATTTGGCCACCCTCTCCCCCCTTCTGAAGGCTTTCCGAAATGGTTTCCGATCGGAGCGGCGTAACTGTTCCAACGGTGGTAGGTGTACGGCAATATACGACAATCGCACGTTTCTGTGGGAAGGCAAGCATCCGGTTACATCAATGACAAAGTTTTGGTGTCGCTACGCCACGCCAAACTTTGCGTATAGGCAATTATTTATTTAAACAGTTATTGAATTAGTCATCTCTTTAAATGTTATGCTTTTTATATTGCTATTTGTAGACAACTGAGTGACGGGTATTTAGGTGTGAAAAGTTAGATGCAGGTGGAAAAGCATAGCAGTTGGATGTCAGGCCATGACTACCGGCAAAGACATTTCCTATGGGACCGTTTAAGCTGATGCGATAACGCAAGATGGAAGGAAGCACCCCATCTTTCTACTTTTCACCCATTTTTACATTAGACGGGTACGATTTTATCAGAAATATGGTTTTATCGACATCCTTCCGAAAAGCTCAGGATTTCGATTTGAAGCACGCGACCACGCGGGAGAGAGCTCATTTAACTCCATGCTCACCACATGAACTTGATTTAACTTGCTTTTCCAGTGGGTGTGTTCTGTAGTGTTTGCAACACACCATGTGTCGAAACGTTTGTGTAATAAAGAATGCGAATGCTTGAAGCGCTGTTTAGACAAAAAGATACGCGGGCATACAGTTATTATTCCGCGAATTCAATGGAGCGTTATGCTGTGGCTCTGCTTGCTGCCCTGTGGCGTTCACCACAGTGGCTTTTCAAGGCGCACTTTGGGTTTGGAAATGAGAGCATCACATGATCCATGTGACGCACTGGTTCAAACTTCAACAAACGCGCGTCCCAGCCTTTGCCCGCTGGCCCAATTGCGAACGGTTTTTTATTCGCCCTATTAGAGGTGCGCACGGCGGATGTCATGGCGACGGTGGTCGCGACTGCAGGCAGGAAGTGTAATGCTGTTACAAAGCGTTGACAGCGCAATTTGGACTCGAAAATAATATAATTGATATCTGTACTAAGTCTTGATGGTGCTACATTGACACTATAATGTGTTATTATTAGACGTAACTAGTCCTGGTGTTTCACTATATATTTTATTTTTAGGAATATGCCCTAGGTGGAACACTCCCTTTAAGCGAAGCCGTAAACCTCTGAGATACTTTCTTAGACATCTAGCCAGTTGAGGTCAAGATTACGACTAGTGCCGTTAAACTTGGGTCAGTATAAAGGTCGGACCGAGGTCAAAACCAAACAGCGTTGTCACTGAAAAATGTGCTTTAGAAAGTAGTTGTATGCTCCTTTCGAATTTTTGGGTCACAGGGTCGTCAAGAGATATCTTATACGAACTTCTTACAGGACAGCGAAAGTTACTGAGCTAAAATGACCCACATCAACCTTTTTCCAGCCGGTGCGGCGCAGCCACTCCAACCGGTGTGACCTGAAGGAAACACCAATACAATTTTGCTTAAAACAGGTGCCTAGGGTTAAGGCGGCTGCATGAGGAGGTCCGGCGGTACTTCGAATATCGATCTAGAGTTTGACCTTATTTGCGCCGAAGGTTAACAGGTATTTTGACCAAGTCTATCTCAAAATTTGACGTAAGTAAGTTCAGACGCAGGCCTTCCTACCTTGTGAATTCAGCGTTTCTGGTTGTCTTGTTTTGTTTTATCGCTGGGTTCATATTGACCCCTCCCCTACCGAGCGCGTCACAATCGGCTGACCACCTGCGCGCGTGTTCTAAACCGTGAGTAAATGTCCATGAAATGGATGTATGCTATATTTTGCAAGACATCCAAAATTCATGTGGGCTAGCTCTCTCTCAGCATTACAATGTGGTAACAGACCAACCTACAAAATACGTTTCACTGAAATGCGTACGATCACGCGTTACTGAATGCTTATATTTTCTGGCGGGATTCTCCTTCCAGCGGGACCGCTGCTCATTTCGAATTGATTGATACCAGGGGCTGTTTTGCACATCTTTCATGGATTTCTTAAAGGTCACAATAGGTCATTGACCAGTAATGACTCACTTCTTGTTTTATTGTCGTTTGTCTTATTCGTCTTCTTGTTTTCTTGTTCGTGACAATAAACCGCCTAGCGAAATCTTTGTGGCTTATTCAACAGCAAAACTCAAAGCAGTCTTGTATGATTTTGGTCTTCACAACCTTCAAAAGCTCAAACAAGGTCACTGACCTTCAACAAGCATGTAACCTTTTCTTTAGAATGGGTATCAAGGTTCTGGGGATACTTTGGAGACTCGTCTGGAATTTGACCTTGTTTGACCTTATTTGACCTAAATTTCATGACCTAGGAACCTCAAACTTTGATTTCGATGAGTTCACATACAGGGCATCACACCATGTGAGTTTGGTGCTTCTAAGGCGCGCGCGTGGTGCTTCTCTTAGTTCCCGAGATCTCAACGGGGTCACACGAATCCCCACCCGAGCGAACTGTATCCAACCGGTCACCCGGGCGCGGGTTAACAGGCACTGCCTTTCCACAGACCCGTTGGCTGCAGTGCGCAAAATGCTTGCAAAAAAAGAACATATTGCCGCGAAAACTCCGCAATCGTCGTTGCTGAAGCCCAGCGTTGGTAGCGCTGACCTCAAATGAACTTATGTTGACCATATCCGTGGCGCGTGAGAGGCGTAAAGGACGGTTTGCCTTCCAGAACACGCGTTCGTATATGGTTCGCCGAAGGCCATTTGGCTGCTGACCAGACAGCGTGACCCTGATCACAGGGCGCCCAGTCATGCAAGTACATGGCACGGT